TATTATAATTATTATTATTATTATTATTGTAAATGACCTATAATATGTCTAACTATATTTAAAATGAGTTACCTTTTAGAGAAGTGATTATATTTGTATGCCAATATTTTCCTATGGTAAAGTTTTCGTTTTGCACTTTTATTTTGATAGTAATAAGATCGGGACTCTTATTTTGAAGGAACTTTTACCGGTTAAATCGGTTTACCGATAAAGATTAAGCCCCAGAAAGCACATGGCTACTTAGCATGCAAAATCGGCTGAATCTTTATTTATTGATTAGATCACGTTACTCTGATGATAGTGTTCAAGACAGCCTATATGTCTGAACTCGATCCTTAGAGTAATGTGTTACAGAGCCTTCTCTTCAATATTGTTTCCACATAACGAGCATTTTGCGCTGCTCTTTTCCAATGTGGAAGCAGAATGTGTGAAAGCATACAGCACGATGCAGGGTGTGTCTCTAGACATCTTTAGACTGGAATAGCGGGGCCCAGTACGTGAACTTGCCACGCAGGTGCACACGCCAGGATAGAGGGCATCAGACTCCATAGAAAACTTGCTCGGGTCCGAGTCCAAGTCGGAGCGTCAATGTACAAGTCGAGTCCGAGTCATCGTGGGGGGAAAAATTCACGAGTCCGAGTCCAAGTCATCGTGCGCGAGAATTCACAAGTCCGAGTCCGAGTCCAAGTCATCGTACGCAAGAATTCACAAGTCCGAGTCCGAGTCCAAGTCATCGTACGCAAGAATTCACAAGTCCGAGTCCAAGTCATCGTGCGCGAGAATTCACGAGTCCAAGTCCGAGTCGCGTCAATCAGTGAGCGAGTCCGAGTCGAGTCACGAGTCCCGAAGATCGGCACGAGTCCGAGTCCAGGACTCGAGTACTCCATCTCTGGTATAGCTAGAGTTCTGTGCTAACGGCCTTAAGATTTTTTCGTACAGGGCTAATTCAGAGGCAGCGTTAGCCTTGTGTGTTCTTTTGCTAAAAAAAAAATCATCAGTTAGCTGAGTTTCTTCCCGTTACATGGATATGAAACATTCATAGTTTATTAAATCTTAAGAAGCCCTCAGACACTGTTGCGTGCAGATGTTGTGGTTTCGGCCCCTTCGTTGGTTCCGTGGGGCTTAAGAGGTGTTGCAATTTGGACGTGTGAGAAATGTAATATTAAATTACATAAAATAGAAATACCTTAATATTCTACTTAAATATAAATATGCCCTGTTACATTCTACCACTATTTAAGAGGCATAAATGTGCTGTACCTATTTTTCTTTATGTCATTTATAGAAACATCAAATTAAATATATTACCCACTGACACACATTGGCATTAAAATAAGTGTTTCTGGGTTTCAAGTTTGTTTGTTTTTATTTTTATTTCTAGGGGACAGTTTGACAAACCACAACAACATGAAGTTCTCAACGTTTGACAGAGATCAGGACACGTGGTCGAGCAACTGCGCTCTGACTTATCTCGGTGCATTCTGGAACACAAATTGCCATTATGCCAACCCCACCGGTCTGTACGCACCTCCAGGGCTTGTGGCGGGAAATCAAGGCGTTTTCTGGAATTCGTGGAAGGGCGCGAACTATGGCATGAAGACCTTAGCCATGAAGATCAGATCAGTCTCTGCATGTGCATGCGCTCAAAAACCTGTTTAGCTGTACACTTTTATTGTTGACTTTATTAAGGTTTTCAAGTTTATACAAGATTTCAGACAACTTGGACCTTCGTGTTCACCGAACTATGATTTTCCTGTGAGGCTAAAAACGAAATTCTTGTTTCAATGCCACATACATATATATATTCTACTTCCAACAAACACTGATACTGTTGTTGAATAATCATAATCATATAGTAAATGCTTCAGTGAGATTAAACCTTTTCTTTACTAATCAATAAAAACAATTATTTAGCTGCAACTGTGTTTTGAATTCTTTCAAATTGTTCATTGTTGTTTACCGAACTATGATATTCCTGTCAGGCAAACAATGAAAGTTTGTAATGCCAGGTGTTACTATCTTCAACAAACACTGATAAGCTTGTTAAATAATGGGAATTATCAATAATTGAATACAATTAAAGAAAGTAAAAAACTGATGAAAATTAGCTTTAAAATGTCATTCCTCATTCCCAGTAAAAGTACTAGCTGTAAGTTTTGTCTCAAGTACAGCACAAATTAACAGTGTGTGTGCGTGTGTGTTTGTGTGTGTGTGTGTGTGTGTGTGTGCGTGTGTGTGTGTGTGTGTGTGTGTGTGTGTGTGTGTGTGTGTGTGCACACACAAACTCACAGCCGAAGTAAAAACAATAAGTGTGGCTTGATATTGAGTAAGAAAAAGGTTGATAAAACGCTGTGAGAATGGGTCTGTAGAGAGAATTTCGCCGCGATCCCAACTGTCTGTTATCAGCCTGCAGCCAGGGAGGAGAAAACAGCAGAGCTGCCTGTGTGTGAGGAAGTCCGTGGATTGGTCAATTTGGACCAATCAGCGGGGGCTTAACGTAACGGCTCCGCGGACGTAACGTAACGGCTCCACGGATTGGTCCATTTGGTTCCGGGTACCGCATGACCGTATCGCGTCATAGCTCTGGGCGTGGCTACTGGGTATCCAGACGTCACGATGCCCAGGAAGAACATGAGAAATCTCCAACTAGGCGTTTTGGGGAGGTCTTTTCTGTGTTAGAGTTGTACTCCCTACAGGGTGTACTTTGAGGGGTTTTGACTCTGCAGACCGTTTACATGCATAAAAACCTTCATAACACACAAGGGGACGGGTAATAACTGGAAAAGCATGACACCTCTCCTTTAATAGAAACGGGGGAAACATCCATGATCATTACATATAACACACACACCATATCCAACATAGACTAGTGTGTGCAGGTGTAGCAGTGAACCATGTTTTTAAGTGAGCTGTAAAGTGGTGGTGTATGTATGTATTTAATATGTGTGGGTAGACAGTTCCAGTTTTATATTGCTGTGACAGAGAGCGATAACTGACCAAAAGTACTTTTCCTGAATGGAACTTATTATAGTGGTCAGGCTGGAATTGTTACGTTGAGTAACTAATGAGTTAAGAGGTGGAGGGGCAGTATTGTGCAGGATTTTAAACACCAGAATGATGTTCCTATATTTTATGAAATCTTCCTAGCTCAGAATGTTATGCTTGTTGAGTGTACAAAACACTAACGTTTTACCTGAGCACAACCAATGAAATTGAACAGAAAACTCTGAAGATGCTGACAACTGAAATAATGTTGTGACTCAAAAGACGGTGGCTTACCTGTTTAAAATGTACTGAAGTTTTACCTGAGCACTAACCACAATGCACTGGACCAGCATGTCAGGCTTCCCCATTAACAATCACAGCAGAACTTTTATTTCAGAGACTTCATGGGCTGTGAGCATTTAGAGGCAAGCTCCTATGAGTCTGAATTTATTCTAAGGTGAATTCATCTCCTTTGGATAATCAATGTTCAATCAGTAGGCCAAAGAGGAATGCAAAGGCGGCACAGTGGTCAGGAATGTCATGCAATACAACAGTACCTGCATCCCAACAGCTACAACAGCCCAAAATCATCTGGACTGATGAAGTGCATTTGGGGGGAAGGTGCATTTCTTTATATTATTTATATATATTGGCAAACTCAACACTTGAACCTTCTCTGTGCTCAACATGAAATATTTTGCTATGAGTCACACATTGTTTCATTTAGCAGTATGACTTGAATTGTGTAAGTGTATTTCCTGCCGTTACTAGATTTCCTGTCAATCAACTGATTCATTCATTGATTCATCGTTTCACTTGTTTGTAACGTTAGGTATTTCAATTTATAACAAAGCATCATATTTTATAAATCTTTCTGTCTTGTATTGTAGAAATCTTAACTTCTAGAGCAGACAATAAATGTAATGAAGTGTATAGTATACACTATCTATCTATTCATTCTAAAATATTGTGGAGTATAGAAGAAGAACATTTTAAAAACAACACTATAGAGTAAAACAAATCTGCTTATATTTTAGGGCTGTATTTGAGACAAGCTATTCTCGGGCATTCTGGTTAATATCATACAAGATGTGCGTCATCTCAACACACGGTGGCGCCCTTGTGTTGCACAAACTGATTAGACTTCATGGGAGGAAAGGTGTGTCTCCACAGGTATGATGACGTCATCTAACAAACAGGGAGTGATCATCAGGTGGCGCTGCATGAAGAAGAGGACATACTAGATACAGTGATGTATAATCTCTAGATCTTAAGATATTTCACTGAATGAGGGGAAATTGTTCACCTGCTGGTGGCGCTAGCTGACAAACTTGATGCACACACACACACACACACACACACACACACACACACACACACACACACACACACACACACACACACACACACACACACACACACACACACACACACACACACACACACACACACTATAGTGCCTGTAATCTTTTTACAAGTTGTTTGATTTATCCAGTGTATAATGATTTATTTTACTTTATTATCTCAGGTTCAATATATGTTACATTGTATTCCCGTTTTACTGCAGGACAATAAAAAGGTGTGTTTATTTAAAGGACCCAGTAACATTTATGTTAGATAATAAAATCAACCTTTAGGTCTTATTTTTTAATATATTTATACTTTTTTTTTTAATGATTGTTTCTTTTTCTTTTAACCTATGTGTCTTAGTTATTATAATTATATAATTATAATTATAATTATTTTTCCCATTATGACTATGTCGGTTGGTGTTCCTGTCATGTCATGTTGAAAAAAGAGAAGCATGATATCCACCGCACATACATCTGCACTATGGCTGTATTATATGTATATTTCTTAATAAAGATATTTGAAACAGAAAATGGCATCAAGCTGCTTCTTTAAGATGCAAACAAACAGAGGCGCTGTGGGAAGGTTTTCCCACCGCTCCTCCCTCCCCCTCTCCCCCTCTCTGGTTTTTTCTCTCTCTCTCTCTCCCTCTCCCTCTCTCGCTCTCGCTCTCTCCCTCTCTCGCTCTCGCTCTCTGGGACCCAAACTTGTTTCAGGAAAAAGCGCCTGCACATATTTTCTCTCTGAAGAAACAGGACGGCCGTGTCCGTGCCAAAGGAGAAGGCGTAAACTTCCTCCAAACATTTCCTCCGCCATCTCCGCTTTCGAGCATTTTGTGGAATCGTTTGTAGCGAGAGGAGTTTTTTTATTATCTGGTTTTTCCACCTCCGACAGCACCTGGTTGTTTCTCTTTTAACACGGACTCCTACTTCCTTTCCTCAAACATCTGAATTGTGCGGACATGGACTGGGGAACAGATCTGTGGGTAAGTTGACAGCTGACACAAGAAGTAGAGCCCTCTGGGAGAAGTCGTTACTAAAACAAAAACCATCCCTTAAGAGAACCGCTTTTGTTTTCGTCGACACAATGTGTACTTTTCCACGGCAGGCCTGGGCTAATCTTGCGGAGTAAAAAAAGGCTTCAGCCAGATGATTTCGCAACTCCTTGCTCCCTGCATACCTTTTCATACACAGAGGGGAAAGAAGAGTGTTTTATTACTCTTTCTGGCCACCTTATCTACACACTGTAGGCTAAAGGTGTACTCCACCACACCCCCCCTTCATGCATGCTCTAACCTGAGCTGTGCTTTGTGATAACAGCTCTCAGGATTGTCCCTGCATCTGGTCAGTGTCTCCCTTCAGCTGTGAATCACAGTGACAGTCATCAGGTCAGATAACAGTGTCCTCTGTGCAGGGAACAGGGAGCAGGAGGAAAAAGCACCCAACACAAGGAGCATCTGATCAGGGCTGCAAGTTACAATTATCTGCATTAGTTTCCCGGTGAACCAATCAATTGTTTGGCATATGAGGAATGATTAATGTAAAAAAAAAGACAATATGTGGTCAAATTAGTGCTGAGTATTATGCAGGAAACCATATATTCTGACATGATTGACCAAATACCTCAATATCGTTAAAAATATTTTTGTCCGAACCCTTTTACTGGCTATTTTGAGTATGTGTTGGACTCTCATGGCCTTAAAACGAGGGTTAATGTATCTAAACCTAAAAGGGGTCTTGTTATGATAATTTTAAGGTTTTATATTTCAGTATTTCGTGCCTCTACTGCGACATGTTTACATGATTTAATGTTCAAAAAGTGTTTTATTTTTCTCATACTTCCTGGGCTGCAGCACCTCTTTTTAGCTGGCTGGCTCTGCTGTGATTGGTCAACCTTTTAGAGATGTCCCGCCCCTTAGCCTATCACATACTATGTGCGCTAGCAAATCGAAGCACACATGTTACATAGTGATGTCACTATGTTACAGAAGTAAACAAAGGAGTCCAGTGTAGGAGAGAAACTCCCTCTGGAGGGAACTTTCTGATTTTAGCCTTTGCAGACCATTTACATGCACAAAAACCTATATAACACACTACAGGAAACCCCTTTGGAAAACAAGCCCAAAGCTTAGAACTAACCATGCAATTATCTTTTACTATAATATTATAAAAAATGGGCATTACATTTAGTTTGGCATTTTATTCCATCCCTCCTCACCACTATAGAGAAATGTGCTTCTATCCACTTTACTTTTACTTTCACATAGGGTTGTTTAAAGGGGCCCTTTTTTGCTTTTCGGTGTGTGTTTTTGAATTTTTTTGGTACAATACTGAGGTTTTTATGTATTTATTAGGTCTATACTGTAAGTGTAAGAATAAGAGATTAGTATTAGATCTCCTGCCTGCCTCCTAGCCTAGACTCCAGAACTATAATGGAAAGGACTTTATTGCAATATTCTGACCAATTTGAGTACTGTATGCACATGTGTGTATTTCAAATTTTTCGATTATCATAATTCAAACAATCATTTAATCATAGATATAGCAAATATATTGTACGGTTGACCATGGCCGGTTTTTATCAAAAAGAGGTTTAGGTTTTTGATAGGTAATCATCACTATTGTGGATTTAATGACTAAATGGGTTACAGGGCAACTAAAGAATAACTAGAACAGTTTGGAAAACCACAGATTGTCTTATAAACCAGACAACACTACAATTCGATATCCAAAATCTGTGAAGATATTGATTCTCATATTGTGATGTGGATATAAAACCTGCCTCAAATAACTTGTTATGTCCTACCAGCAGTTTAGGAGCTGAAGACATCCTGTTTACTACCCCTTATAACACAGGAAGGCAGGAAATCCTCACATTTCAGAGACTGAAACCTGAGAACGTTTGGCATTTTTGCCTCATACCAAATGCCAAAATAGCTCCTAATACATTTTCTGATTATTGCTTCATCAGTCATTAACAGTGTTGGAAGAAGTACTCAGATCCTGTACTTGGGTAAGAGTAGAAATAATATGGTCTCAAAATAAGTCCTGATTTCAAAGAAGTACAAAAAGGTTCTGTATTAGGGTTAAAAGTTACTTAAAGGTCACATATTATGCAAATCCACTTTTATACATAACCATGTGTCCCCTCTGTGTAAAGAGACTCTGAAAGTTTCAGGAGAAAAGATAAAAACCTGTCTGAAAATGAGCTGATCAGATTTTGGCCACTTTATGATGTCATAACGATGTTTCGGGTTGTGTAACCATTAGCCAATAACTAACCAAGGTAACCCCCCCCCTTATCACCTGAATCTCCTCCGAGAGCACCATTGTGTTCTTTTTAACCAAATATCTCTCAGAGGGGCGTGGGGAGGGGCTCCTTATTTTCATCTAAAGTAACAGACAGAGAATCAGCACTTTTTGAAACAGGGCTGAAACAGAGGGGATTATGGGATGCTGCAATGATCTGTTTGGTATTTGGAACCAAACACTTCAGAGACATGTTTTGTATATATCTGAGACCTATAATATATTGATGAAAAATAGTATAATAGGGGACCTTTCAGTAAAACATCCTGACTGTTTTTGATATTTGGTTTAAAGCAGAATTTTGGGGCAAACAGAACTAATCTTGCTGTGATTATGTTCACAGTCTGCAGCACACTGTGAGATTAAACCGGTGGTGGATAGTAAGAAGTAGTAAGTACATTTATCCAAGTACAGTACGAGAGATCTCTTGATTATTATCTTCATGAATGAATCCATTTGGTCAAGGAAATAGGAGTAAACAGAGAAAAAATCCCCACATTTCTCTCCAAAATCCCAAATTGTCACTTGTTTTTTCCGACAAACACTAACAAACCTGTCCATATAATCATTAAATCGATAACCAATTACACATTTTTCAAGTTCCAGATCAAAGGTACTGCTCTTTTTTTTTGAGGACTGTCAATCAGGCTTCTTATTGGCATTTATAGCAATCCTTCCTTCTGAAAAACAAATTGGATTGTCTTTCATTTGTTTTGGGTTAAAGCCCTAAACTGAACAGTAGATGGTTTGATGTACACACAAGTGAAACATGCCCTTATATGTCATCAAGTTTCTACCTTCCATCTCTTTCAACAAGGCCTGCCTGTATATGACAGTTTAGACATGTTTCCCCCTACATTCTGCCTGATGTGTTTCATTCATTTACATGTTGTATTTTTCAATCTGAATTTGCAAAAGCACTAGTTATAAAATAAATATAGTGAAGTAATACTACAGAAATTCCCTCTGAAATGAAGTAGAGTAGAAGTATAAAGAAGTAGAACATGCAAATACTCAAATATAAGTACTTTCAAATGTTAATGCATTCAATAAATGTACTTCATGTGCTCTAAAAGAAGGCAACATACCCTAAGTTAAAACAAATGAACAACAATTTGCTTTGCTTGTTCTTTTAGTAAATCAGTTTGAAAGTAGCCTGTAATCGCTAAAAACACATCACGACATCAGTTAATGTTAATGACTGGTGCAGTCCAGTGCAGCTCTGGGTAAATACAAACTTAGCCTTATTAAATAGTGTTTGTGATTCATGCATACAAAACAAATGTTAATGTAGAGGTTAGTTGGTACAAAATACATGAAGGTGTTGCATAGCTAACTGAACCTGATGACAAAATATGAGCTTGCTTATATGTAACGTGTTCAGAATAAGTTGAGTTATAATGGGTTATATGAAATATGGTCTGACCTGACAGTTATTAAAATGTGGTCAATAAGATTATATAAATAAAGTTACAAAGTGCTTCTCATGGTGAAATGCATATCCAGTTTTATAGAGGTCACAAATAAATGACAGTCCCCATACAGGGAAGGCAAGTTGAGACAGAGTGGTTTTGAGTCGTACTGTCACCACCACTACACTGATGACTACGATATCTACCTGTATCAGCGAGCAGTGATGCAGTTGAACTGACAAGGCAGGTTATCTGGAGGTAGGGTTGCATATCGTTGACTTTTTTACGATACCGATACCGATACCACTGAACGATACCGATACTCGACCTATACATATCGTAATACTTTCATGTTGCATAAGGGAAAAATTGAATCATCCCGCAATTACTCCCATGAAGCGCTTTATGATATAGTTAACATGTCAAATGAATATTAAATTCAATTGTGGGACTCCCACACTCCACAGTGACTCGTTTGCGGAGTTTCACGGCAAAATTGACATTCTAATTTTGACGGTTTGGGTGTGAGTTTAAGGATATTATGCCTTACTTGCACCCCTAACTGGAGGTAACATATGTAGAAAGAAAATGTACCAAGGATTGAGCCCTGTGGAACTCCACAGAGTAGAGGGACAGGTGATGAATCACAGTAGCAAGCAACGTTAAGGACGACACAAGATACAAACCCACTTTTTGAGCTCTTCTGAAAAGTCAAATGCAGCTGTTTAGTTAAGGACAATGAGGATAGAACTTTTCAATCTTAGTAGTGACGTTTTTAAAGGGGCCCTAAAATGCTAATTTTCCGGTTCAGATTTGTAATTTGTGTCTCTACTGTGACATGTCTCCATGCTTTAATGTTCAACAAGCTCTATATTTTTCTCATACTGCCTGTGCTGTAGCACCTCTTTTCACCCTCTGTCTGAAACCAGAGCCCAGTCTGCTCTGATTGGTTAGCTGGCCGGCTCTGTTGTGATTGGTCAATCACTTAGAGATGTCCTGCCCCTTAGCCTATAGTACAATGTGTTGGAGCGTTAGCCAAGAGAAGCGCAAGTGTTACTGTTAGTGATGTCACTATGTTACAGAAGTAAACAAAGGAGTCCAATGGAGACTTTTCAGGCAGGAGGAGAGAAACTTCTTCTGGAGGGTACTTTGTGATTTTATCCTTTGCAGACCATTTACATGCACACAAGCCTATATAACACATTGCAGGAAAGGGAAAACCCAATAAGCACAATAGGGCCTCTTAAACATATTGTTTGCCTCGTTGAATCTCTAAGACATTTTAAATGTTATGTTGCAGGTTGTGAGGCTCCAGTGACTTCCTGTTTGCTCAGTTGATTGCTTTGAATAGAAAAGATCTCCAGATGATTCCTAGCAACTGATTAACACATTACAAAAGTCCCTACTAGCTAAAACATTAAGTGCAACCTTATTTAGTTAATCAGTAGTTTGAGAATACTTAATAAGAACTCTACAAAAACGTTATGAACAGTTTGTGCACACAGTTGAGCTCACGTTATGACTGAGTATAAGCTACAATCTGACCTTAGATCAGTGTGTATCAGGAAACATATGCTGCTGCGTGCCGTTACAGTGAGGGGTGGGACTAGTCTGACTGGTTCCTGGATTTTGAGAGGCCCCTGGGACCGTCAGTCACTGGGCGGAGGTTCACACTGAGCTAATGATTATCTCATTCCTGAACCCTCTCTGTCTCCCTATCAGCATTTCCTCCTCTGGCACAAACATGTAGATGTGTTACAGTGGAAGTATTGGGGCGTAGCAAGTGAAGTGGTGAATACGTGCAGGAATTTGTCATAAAGTTATGTTTCTATGATTTCTTTCTAGTGCAAATAAACCCCAGTTTTCTTTTTCTCTCATCCTGTTCCTCCTTTTCGTATCCAGGACATTGCTAACTGTGCTACATATGATCTCCATTTAGCTTTGCCCTTCTCCGAGGACTCAAAATCACACACACACACACACACACACACACACACACACACACACACACACACACACACACACACACACAGACAATCAAGAGGTGCAGTCTCAGCATCAGTTCTTCTTTGTCACATTAGCCTTCAGTGAGTATGTCATGACGTGTAGAAATAAGCCAGTGGGGACAGAGACTACAAACGTTACCTGTCCAACAGGTTTGTGTGTGTGTGTGTGTCGTTTCGTTTTAAATAGAGACAGAGAGGAATGTTGGAAGGACAGTTCTTCTTTCTCTACTACACCTTTGTAGTTTATGTTTGTGAAAGAAATTAAAGTGTGTGTGTGTGTGTGTGTGTGTGTGTGTGTGTGTGTGTGTGTGTGTGTGTGTGTGTGTGTGTGTGTGTGTGTGTGTGTGTGTGTGTGTGTGTGTGTGTGTGTGTGTGTGTGTGTGTGTGTGTGTGTGTGTGTGTGTGTGTGTGTGTGTGTGTGTGTGTGTGTGTGTGTGTGTGTGTGTGTGTGTGTGTGTGTGTGTGTGTGTGTGTGTGTGTGTGTGTGTGTGTGTGTGTGTGTGTGTGTGTGTGTGTGTGTGTGTGTGTGTGTGTGTGTGTGTGTGTGTGTGTGTGTGTGTGTGTGTGTGTGTGTGTGTGTGTGTGTGTGTGTGTTCTTCTTCTTCTTCGTCCTTCCCGTTTCCCTTTTGTCTCACGCTCCACAGCCCTGAATGAAATGTGGTTTGAGCTAAAACACTTCTTAGTTACGTTCTTAGTTTCCTAGTCTCGATTCGGAGTTCGTCAGCAACTATACTGACAATTGAATCATAGTGTACAAAGATAACTTACTGCTTTCAGGGTTTGTTTTTTTAACTCCTCTGAGACAGTGCATTTTAAATGTTTGCATTTTTGGACTGCTGGTTGGTCTTAGTCTCAGTGTCTGCAGTGTATTGACAATAGCTAATTCTAGATTCTCCATTGTGATACTGATCTCATTTGATAGTGAAATTATCTTGTTTGAGTTTTGGACTGTCAAGTAAAAGAAAGTAATTTAAATGTAACACCTTTCGGAGGCTTTAGGATGATATAGTGATGGTTATTTATACTTTCTACATTTTTGATACTTTACTGGCAGTAAATATACAGCAGATTTATCCACAATAAAACACAATCAGTAGTTGGAAACGTATAACCCTTGACTTGGAAAGACACTTCTTATGTTCCCCATGCTCTATGTGGCATGTTCTGCAGCCAGATTCACTTCTTGTTTCAGAAGCGTTTTGCTTTCAGTAAGTAGTGAAACCTAATCCAACCTCAATGTTTGACCTATTCTTTTACTATGTCTCATTGTGTGTTCTAACGGCTGCAAGTACTACACTGATGTACCTCATTTAAAATGAAAAGTGTTAAATCAAAAGCACGAAGCCAAAACAATGAAAACAGTGTGTTAGGGGTTTTCTGAGACACATTTCGAGCTCAGGGTGTTTCTCAACAGCAGCGTTTGTGTGCACGTAAACATGTATTAAAACATCTGTCTCTCTGTGCTGTTCCTCTCTTAGGACCAGTATGATCACATCGACAAGCACACGCAGTCGGGCCTGGACCTGGTGGAGCGCTACATAAAGTTTGTGAAGGAACGGACAGAAATAGAGCAAGGCTACGCCAAACAACTCAGGTGTGCATTTAGTTTAAGAAAGTTCTCACATATTAACTTGAATTACGATCTTAAATAAGTGTTTGTGCATTTATATGTGTCTGATAGTCACTCTGCTTCTTTTACACTGACTCACAGGAATCTATCAAAGAAATATGCCAAACGAGGGGGCAAAGATGAGCAGGACTGCAAGTAAGAGAACAAAATAACGTTTTCTGTCCTTATTTTGCGTATATAAAATAAACAATTGTTGTTTCTGTTGCTCTAAGTCTTTCAATTCTGCCATTCTTGCACCACATATATATGCACTAAGAATGTCAATGAAGGCAGATGTAACACTAATAATGTGCAGTACATTTAGAAACTATACACTGTAGCTCCTTGATTTCACAACGTAGGTAAACTAAATTAGACTTCTCATTTGCTCACTCTCACTTATTAGCCTTTTTTTGTTGCAACATTTAATGCTAATGATAGCTTAAAAGGTCCCCTGACACTTTCATAGAAACATGACTAGTGTTTGTATTTTTGCTTTAAACTTCTTATATCCAAGAGTCATTTATAAAAGTCATGTATTATTTATGGATGAAGAATAACTGATCAGTATAGAACATGTGACACTATATTGCACTTGTTCAGAGTTTTGGGGGTTTTAACTTCCCTGGAAATGTTTTTTTACCGGGGGAAAGAGACAAGGAGGCCACAGGAAAAGCAAAAAGTGAGAGATACAGGAAAACCATTGTCATTGTACTGTTGCATTTTGGATAATTTAATAAACTGCACAAAACGACATTCTTGCCTGGACTTTGGATCTTTTCCCCTGCGTGAGATTCCCTAGCTGTTGCATCGGCGGCAGTTTTATTGAGTAAAATGTTCTGTTATAATTGTTCCACTGCAATTACAGTATTTCAAGGGGACATACGTTGTGTTCTTTGGTATGGTTTATATGTCCTAAGCGAGGTCCTTGTGTAAAAACGGCTCTATATTAGCATCATCGCTCAGCATGGGGAGAAATCCAGCTGTGACGATCCACTAATTGTCTCTCCCTCCGTGCTGCAGATTCAGCAATCACGCCTCCCTCCAGGAGATCCTGAACGAGCTGAACGATTACGCCGGCCAACGGGAGCTCATCGCTGAAAATATGATGACCGGCATTTGTGTGGACCTCACCAAGTACCTCCAGGATCTCAAACAGGAGCGCAAAACAGTGAGAGGGAGGGATACTACACGGGGAAGGAAGGAAGGGAGGGAGGGAATAACGGGTGTTATTGTCATAAACTGCAGCTTATTAACTGAAATATTTTCCTTCCCAGCACCTGGCTGATGCCAAGAAGGCCCAGCAGAATTTAGAGATCAGCTTTAAACAACTAGAAAGTGTGAGTCATGTTTTGTTGTTGCTGAAGTCTACTTTGGGTCACATGTTTGTTATTTAAAAGATTAGTTCACTTCAAATAAGAAAAAACACATTCACTTCCTTAATATCTTGTTCAAGCGGAAAGTTTGACATTACATATCTTACAATACATTTTATGGAACATTTGGGCAATTATGGAGTGTATTCTTGTGCAGTGTGAGAATTTGAGTTTATTTTATTCAACCTTAGTTGGTACACGTTCACATTGTTATTTTCAAGAAACCTTTAGTGAATTACTTGAAGTGAATGCATGTCTGTTGCAACTGAAAAAATAGTAGTCCTACCTTCTAATAATAGGTTGTAACTTATTACCATAATATGGGTTAATTCATCGTTTGATAATGTTTTATAGATCATATATATATACGGTGGCCAACAGGTGCGAAACACTTTCATTCATATGTGTGTGTGTACATGCTTGCAGACAAAGAAGCGCTTTGCCAAGGAGTGGGCAGAGACTGAGAAAGCCACTCAACAAGCCGAGAAAACGGAGAACGACGTCAACGCCACCAGGCTGGATGTTGAAAAAGTAAACGCACACACACACACACACACACACACACACACACACACACACAACATCCGAGCACTGATATTTCAAGATATCAAAGAAAGAATAACCTTGAACCTTCCTTGCCTCTCCTCCCTTTTGCTTCCTCCCTGCATCTGTTCCCTGCATTTCTCCCGCCTTTTGCATTTTGTTTTGCATCTTCTTTCCCTCTTCCTGCATCCTTTCATGCACTCCTCCCTTTTTCTCTACTATCGCTCCACCTTTCTTTTACTCTGAAGGCCAAGACACATGCCCATGGCCGCACACACACGGCGGAGGAGTGCAGGAACGACTATGCTGCACAGCTCCAGAAATACAACAAGGAACAAAACTTCTTCTACTACACGGAGATACCGCAGATCTTCAATGTGAGAAAAAAACACGTGTAAACACAATGCGGTACAACTGGGCAATACTCACACACTTCTTTTTAAATACGATTTGAAACCAAACCCTTTAAAATCAAATCCTGTCTATTTGAAGGTGCATCTTATAAACATTGTAAATATATAATATGAACTTTAAGGAGGCTGTGATATGTTTGTGCGTGGAACAGAAAATGCAGGACATGGATGAGCTGAGGATTCGGCGGATGGCGGAGGGATACTGCCAGTTTGCAGACATCGAGAAGAAAGTGCAGCCCATCATCTCAAAGTGTTTAGAAGGGATTTCCACCGCAGGAGGGAAAATTAATGAAAAACAGGTAAATGTTGTCGGTCGTGTTAATACGGTCATTTAGTTTGAATCTGTTTCACGCACATTATAAAACAATAATGGGACTGTGGCTCTCTGTCCTGTTTCATATCTAAGACAACTGTGATCTTATTGGTTTGGTACTAGGAGGGAGGCTGGTATACACTATGTTGTGATGTTCTAAAAGGAATAGTTTTAGTTATAGTATTTTGGGGGAATTGGCTTATTTGGTATTTTGCAGAGAGAAAGATGATAAGATCGCTCATATTAAACTTCTTATCAAACTCTTAAAAAGAAAAGTAAATAAGCATTTAATGAGGCTACTTACCTGTTTCAATTTAAATGCACCCTATGGAGCTTTCTTGTTAAAAAAACAAATGTTTCTATTACATTTGGTGTCACTCGCCAAGATGCATGTTGTGGTTCCTTGAGTTTCAATTCATTCCTTATTAAACATTTGCAAAGCATTTGAAGGAACTCTTCAACCAGGAAATGAGCATTTGTAAATCAATTATTCACCCTTTGTTAACGTGGACTCTTGAAAAAAGCAGACTTCTTTTCTGGCATCGCTATAAGAATCCAAAAATAAAGGAAATATTTGCAGAATTGAAGTGAATGGGGGGGATGTTTTACCCTTGTGTAAAAATAGGACAGGAGCTTTCCAAAGTCCTGCTGACAAAAAAAGAAGGAACTACTTTAGTAGAGACCTACGTATTGCTGACACTGCAGTTTACTGATTTAAAGAAGCCCTATTGTGCTTTTTTGGGGTTTCCCTTTCCTGTAGTGTGCTGTATTGGTGTGTGTGCATGTAACTGGTCTGCAAAGGCTAAAATCACAAAGTTCCCTCTCAAAGTGTCTCTCCCACAAAGTCTCCCCCCCCCCCCCTGCCTGAAACGCCTCCATTGGACACCTTTTTTTACATCCGTAACATAGTGACATCACTATGTATAACGCGTTTCTATTAGCTAGCGCGAGACATGTCACAGTAGAGAAAATACAAATATGAACCTGATAATGAGCTTAATAAAAACACATCAGCTAATGTAGTGTAACCAGCCCTTCCAGTATCAGACGGGCTCAGTTGAACACCTGTTGTTACTCTGAATCAACAGAAACAACACCTTACTTTCTTTGATGTAAACGTTTGTCCATTTGTCTCCCTGCAGGACTCGATGCTGTTCATAGAGCAGCACAAATCTGGTTTCGAGCGACCTGCAGATGTTGAGTTTGAAGACTACACCCAGGGAATCAAATCAGCCACCTCTGAGTCCAGCCTCAACCCTCCTAAAGTGCGCGCCAAGCTCTGGCCTTTCAGCAAGAAGACCAAGGTGAATTTGTTTATCTCTTCCCATTAGCCTTGCTTTGCCTTTGTATAAAATATGCAGTGTCTCAGAGACAAGATATGTACTGCCTCTCCCCTCTCTGCCAAGCCTGCTTTGGCATATGACAACTTGAAAATCCTCCTTGTCCTGTTCTTCAAATGGGGCTCAACTAGTCCGGGCTACTAATATGTTATTGGGCTCAAATGAACCTGTCATGTAAACCATATAACATTGATTCTTTAAACTCTGTAAACATGGTTGATTAGAAGCTTTGTGAGAAGGAGGAATTTATTGTCGGTTCTGACTCAAATGGGATTTGTTGACAAAAGAAAAATAAATATCGGCAGACTTTTCCTTTTGATAACCGACACGTTTTCATTTCTAATAATAGTCAACAGTCCTCCGTACGTGTTGAAGAGAGGGTGTCATGTTACAGCTGATTGTGTTCAAACCGGTTCTTTTGGTTTGACGACCTGTTGCAGATTAATTTTACAAACAGCTTTGAAGAAGTCAAATACGTTCGTAGATCTGGGCCCGGCTCTCTTGTTATCCTCCTTTTTGTTGGCCACATAGAAGTGCAAAAGGAGGCTCACACAGTCTCATAACAATGCATTAAAACAAACACACACACACACAGAACTCAACTCACATTCCTCTCATGTCTTACCCCACGACCCAGTTGCCCTCAGGGACCAATTCTAATTCCTGTCTGCTGCAGACTTGCCCTAAAACACCCCTCGCTCTCTTATTAACTCCTTCTCCCCCTTTTTATCCCCAGAAAGTCTCTGCCTCTCTGACTCCCCGTTCTTCTTCTCTTCTGTATTTACCAGTGTAATTTTCTGCTTCCTTTGTTCTTCTTCCTCGTCTACTCCCTTGTCCCTTTTCCCCCCCTCTTCCTCAGTTTTCCCCTCCGTATTTCTCTCCACCGTCCCCTTTCCCACCGGGCAGCCGCCCCCTCTCCCTCCCCCTCTCCAAGCTGCAGCCCTCCCCTCTCTCCGTCTGCCTGAGAGAGTTTAATATTTCTATTAAACCCAGGATTTCCACCTTAATGATATTACACAAACAGCACCGGGTGAGTGACGACAGCTGCTCGTGTGTCCCCCCCCCCCCCCCCCCGCGCTGTGTGTAAACGTCCCCCCTCCTCATGCATTGATTACAGCAAAAGTATCAACCAAAGATCCAACACTATTAGTCAAAAGGCATGCACATGATATTTAAAAATAAAACATTACATGACAACTTACAAAAGTGCACCTTCATGTAGATAAGTAAGTAAAATAAAGTAAGTGTAACATGCAGAATGTAGTGTGGTGGCCGTTAGATAACAGTAGTAAAATGATATATTGCACAGTTATACACACATATTCTTGTCACAGTATTAAATGGCCTAACAGCCAGTAATGATAATTATCTTAACTAAGTACATATTGCACATTTCATGCTTGTTGCTCCAAATGTTTGCATGCGTTTGTTGTTCACCTTTCTCATTCCGAGTGTCCATTTTTCTCTGTCCAGATATCGCAAGCTGAAAAGCACATGGTAACCGTAATTAACACATATTTAAGGGTAGACGTCAAAGGTGCTTAAATAAAAGTGTTCTGGTGCTTGATTCTTTTAAAGGGGAAATATTATTTAAAGGGATAGTTTGGATTTTTGACAGTGGAGTTTCATGAGGAACTTATCAATAGAGGTAGGCACTCGCTAAGTTTGGTGACAGACAAAGGAGTGTCGGTTGCACGGATGCAAAGTAATGTACTGCTGTTCAAAAAATGCAAGCTATCCCTTTAATAATTTGTGTGTCAGTGGAAAAAAATCTTACAGATTTACCGATTTATTTTGTGTGTCATTTTAAATGCAGGTTTGCAGGGCTTCACGTGACCTCACCTTTAATCACAGCTGGGTGTGGTCAGGTGAACCAGCTGTAAGACTGCAGTGTTGAAAGTGCATGTAGTCGCCATGTGTTGGCACTGCAAACTGGATTATTTGCATGGGTGAAGCTACACCTTCATAAACATTTTTTAATGAATGTTTCCCATGGCACAGCGTTTTCAATCAGGGAACACTATTAACTTCATCTTTTAATCTAATTATTCTAATGATTCAAATGGACACGCTTTCTAATATATACTGTATCAAATTTGACAGCAGACTACTTGAAAACTAGAAAAAATAACTCGATGTAGCGATTAATTTATAGACCTGTTCACCCAAATAACAAAATCAAATGTTATCTTACTTACCTCTTATGGTTTCTTGCCATGCAAATAGCTTTGGTTTGGTAGGATATCTGACTCTGAAATATATGTTTTCCGTGAACAATTTGAATTGAAAAAACAGCAACATTCCCTTTTAGAAAAAGTGTGGTTGCTACTTTGAATAATCCAAACAAACAAGCTGTACAAAAAGATTCTAGTCTTTATCCAGATGAAATAATACCTATTTGTTATTCTGGCTATCTCGTTTTAAATCTTTTACCCTCATACTCATTCTTGACCTTTGTCTCTGTGGAGGTAAAACAAGACGGGCCCCTTTCTTTAGACTTAATATTTTGAGAAAATAATCCAGGATTTTATCACAACAAACTTTGTTTTTGAGCCTCATTTTAACAATATCTCAGCTCAAACTCCAGCAGGAGTCTACCACAAAGCTATTAACCAAACCAAGCTTTTTAACCAGTTCAAAAGTGAATAGTGCTTTGTTACTCCTCTGTCTCAAAATCTTAGGGAATTTAAATCAATATAATTTTTTGGAATAATTAGGATTGTTGCACATATGCAGTATGGCATTGGAGAAATAGTTGAAATTTGAAATTCAGTGGCATTCTCAGGGGATGTTATAATAATAATAATACACTTTATTTGTTTAGCACCTTTCATGCACAAAGCAGCCCAAAGTGATTTACAGAGAACATAACAACAATATTACAATAATATTAAAATAAATACAGAACATCTACAGTGATCCTAATGAAATTCCCGTGAATTAAAGCTGACAAGAAATTATAATATGTTCAAATAAAACAATTAAAAAAGAATGTGAAGCAAACGGAACAAATACAGTAAAACATGGACAATGATACTCGTGGGAATTGAAAGTTAACCCAAATTAAAAGTCATATTAAAAAATGGTTACTAATGGTGCTCTCCTCACTGTCTCTCTCTGTAACAAAGTGTGTTTCCTTGTAAAATAATAATGATGTGGCTCGGGTAAAGATACATTGGTTGTGGTTGAGTGACATCTGGTGGTGATCATTCATAAAAGTTGCTTTTTACATCATGCTTGGATAATAACTGTGTGTTTTGTGTGTGTGTCTGTCTGTGTGTGTGTGTGTGTGTGTGTGTGTGTGTGTGTGTGTGTGTAGCCACCTCTTGCAGAAGATTTCTCTCACCTTCCCCCGGAGCAGAGGAAGAAGAGGCTGCAGTCGAAGATTGACGAAATCTCTAAAGAGCTGCAAAAGGCGCTGGACCAAAGGTGACAACTTCACGATCATCCTGAAAAAAAACTGATTACATTTTTTCAACTGTTATTATTAGGTATTACCTTTGATGCATGGTGTTTACTGTGATCATATGATATTGTTTGAGGCAGCATAGATGGTGGTCACCTCAGTTAGTTCAAAGTGTCAGAGTGACATCGTTGAATTTTGAAGCTTTTGGATTTAGTTTAAAGGGGCCCTATTATGTTTTTTTTTAGGTGTGTTATATAGTTTTTTGTGCATGTAAATGGTCTGCAAAGGCTAAAATACAGAAAACAGTGATGTTTTTGACAAAAGTGTGCTCCTAATTCGGGAAACACCCTTTCCTTTTCCCCTGTAGATAAAGCCAGGTCCATAAATAAATGGTTTTCCCAGTTTGGTGCTGGAGAACTTAACTGGTCCACATTAAGTCTTGATCTCCAACACATTTGATATGAATTATAATTGTGAGCCAGGCCTTGTCACCCATCATCAGTACCTCACCTCACATATATCATATAGAGCTGTAACAAGTCTCCCTTCAGCAAGTCTCCTAGCTTCCCTCCTGTTTTTCATCAGTGATGCTACACAGGAGAGAAACTTCCCTAATGAGTGTTCACATTTCATAAATAATAACACTTTTCTTCCCCATTTTGCCCTCAGTGAGGCACTGGAGAAGATGAAGGGTGTCTACGAGCAGAATGCGCAGATGGGAGACCCCTCCAGTCTGGAGCCTCAGATCTCAGAAACGTCTCAAAACATCGGCCGCCTGAGGGGGGAGCTCGCCAAATATGAGGTTAACACACACACACACACACACACACACACACACACACACACACACACACACACACACACACACACACACACACACACACACACACACACACACACACACACACACACACACACACACACACACACACACACACACACACACACACACACACGCGCTATTTAAGTATCTTGTGCAAGTCTAACATCTTGTTCATCACAGACGTGGCTGTCGGAAGCAGTGGGAGGAGAGGAGTCTTCCAACGCCATCAACAATAATACTCAACACACGTAAGATCCGTATTTAAAGGAGTGTTTTTGGAGATTTGCTAATCCACTTTTATGCTGAGAAGTAAATGTTTGTTTATTTTATCTGAAGCTACTGCACGTTAGATTAGTTTAGCAAAGAGAGTAGTAGCACTTCTGCTAGGAAGCTAATTTGTTAGCGCCGCCGGCTTGTTATCACAGTATGATTATTTGACTAAACTGACTGTGGGTTAGATAATATTACAATCTTGCAGGTTTTAATAACTGATGTCATAGTTATTAAAACAGAATACAAATGTACATGCAAGACACTTAGTTCTTCCCTTAGACACTGCTATCGCTACTGTGGCTAAACTGATTTTTACCTTCATTCATTTGCATTTTGAATTGTGAATGATAGCTCTAACCAATCTCTTACAATGATATGTTATATAAATAACATAGAACACTGGTAATGACCCAGCTGTTCCCTGTTTCCAGTCTTTATGCTAAGCTAAGCTAACCCAGCTGCTGGATGTAGCTTTATTTTTACTTTACAGATATTGGAGAGCGGTATCAGTCTTTTTTTTATCTAACTCTAAGCTGGAAATCAAATCAAATCATTTCCCAAGATATTGAACTATTTTTTTAAATGTGAATGTTTAGCTGAATACAACAAATACAAATACTTGGTTTTTGTTCTTGGACATTTCCAGTGGTGTAGCAGCTGAACAGCCTCAGAATATCTACCTAGAGTTTGATGACGACTTTGATGACGTAGAAACTCCTGTTGGCCAGTGCATGGCCCTGTACACTTTTCAAGGTAAAGTGTTCATATTCATCCACTTAGCTCACTCATAAATGAATTTCATTTCAGGTTTTTAAACATGTCTTCATTGTGTGTGTGTGCAGGCAACAGCGAAGGCACCATTTCCATTACCGAGGGTGAGATGTTGAGTGTAATGGAGGAGGATAAAGGAGACGGATGGATGCGAGTACTTAGAGCCGGTGGAGAAGAGGGCTATATTCCTTCATCCTATGTGAAATAGCCCCATAACACACACACACACACACACACATACACATACACATACACATACACATACACATATACATACATACACTCACACACACACACACACTTTTGATGAAAATCAAGTTCAGAGCCAGAGGTGAATACAAAGTCATCCATGATAATTGGAGCTTTTCTCTACATCTTTTATCTCAGCCGGTGACGTGTCTGGCGAGATGAGCGAGTGATTAGGAAGCTTGTTATCGAGGCTGATTGCAATATAATAAAGTCCATGTCTCTACTCGCTGCTGCAGGGGAGGCCGTCTCTAAACTCAGACCGTCTGATCTTTATAGACTTCAGCTCTTTTAAATCCAAACTTTTGAATGTATAGCTGAACTTTTTGTCACAGCGTTAAGTGATAACTCTTGTAACATATTCAGCATCACAGTAGCATGACGCTACTTTTCTTTATGGTGATATATCCATTCACTTGACTTTCCCACTGCCATCTCTAATAACCTGCTGAGCATTTTTCATTTTGTAACACCGGCCCTCTGCTTAAACCTCTCTCCTGACAGGATAATGTGAGTTTTTCTTTTTATCTTTTTTATGTTTTATGACTAATAACTGGACGAAAACCACTACTCCTATAGGGAGTGAACACAATAAGGTCTGTCACAGTAAAGGATAGGTTCACTTTAATGCCTTTCCTAAAACATTAGTCAGGTGCCCATATGAACACTGACATTTTTGTTTGTTTTGCTTGCTGCAATCATTCCCACTTGTTCATTCTGGCCTCTTCCTAATATGCTTTTGTTCCCCAGGAAATAGGGACAAAATCCCTGTTGAAGTTATTTTTTAAATGTATACTGTATGTTGCTTTCTGTAGTCTGTTATATAGGTTTGTGTGCGTGTAAATGTTCTGCAGGGGCTAAAATCCCAAATGAAAAAAGCCCCCTTTTTACTTCCGTAACATACTACGTACCACTCACGCTTCTATTGGCTACATAGCGGTTGACAAATCACAACAGAGCCCAGCCAGCTAACCAATCAGAGCAGACTGGGCTCTGGTTTCAGACATAGGGTGAGAAGAGGTGCTGCAGTAAGAGAAAAATAAAGACAGTTTTGAACATTAAAGCATGGAGACATGTCACAGAAGAGGTATGAACATGTGTATAATAGGGCCCCTTCAAACTAATCAAGTAGGTACAATCCAAAGTTTCAAAGTTTGTAATAAACCATTTATTTCTCTGTGTTACTAACCCTCAACTGCATCTCAGCAGGAGAAATTATTGCACAGAGGAACATACTTTAATTTTGGAAGAAACCCTCTTGATATGAATAAATCAGGTCTCATACTGCCTTATATAAGCTTTAAATAAACATATTATTATACATATTAATACAAGAAATAATATAAACAAGAACACATTACATCAAGCAACAACTGCTTCAATAAACAGTTAATATGGGCACATGAGCTTTGATTCAAGGAGACTGTGAACCTAATCTTTATCTCCATATGATGTTACACTTTCTTTTCTAAAGAGAGACTTGCAAGGAAACTTCCTTTGCAATGTTTTGTGAATTTAAGAAGATAAAACAAGCACAGTGGCATTAAACATGTTGGAGTAAAAATACAGCATTTACCTGCATTCCTGGCACAAATACTTGGTGAAAAGTGTGTTCTGCGTTTGAGGTCGCTGCTTCAGAGATCAATACATAGCATGGAAATGCAAATCTAAAGTGGAGAAATATCAATTATTAAGTCCTTGTCTTTTACTTTTGAATTAAAACGTTGCACGGAAATTGCAGTTTTCAATTCTGGTCTTCAACTGTTTCTACTTTGACATTTTTACTCCCCTCATATTTGTATACTGGTTTTTAAACTGTCAAACCACTTGTCATATATTGAGCCTTCAGACGATCACTCTCAAACAATGGACATGTTTAAAACCTTTGACATTATTCTGAATTGAAATCCAGTTGACTTGTTAAATCACATTTCTGAAGAATTAATGACGCAAGATTGGATTACAAAGAAAGGCAATGAGAGCTTCTGTGCCTTACACAGTCAATTAACTAGTTCAAAAATACTCTTACTTCTTCTCGATTATTGAAAAATCAAGAATTTATGACTATACAAATATTATTTATATCAAAAGTTGAACTGCCTATCTACTTTATTAAAGTTCATTTTGAGGTTTCAAGCCATATCACAGTAATTGGTCCATCGTTTGTACACTTAAACTTTTGATTTAAGCGCAGAGAAACTGGATACATCAGATGTCTAGTGTCACCCTGCAGGAACATCACTCTGCACAGCGAATCTGTAATATTCAGAAATAAGAAAAACACTCTAGAGGGGGACTCTAAAAATCTCCCTCTCATTGAGCCACATGTTTACCTATCTCTTTCTCTACCACTCTGTCCTGCACTAGTAGACTTTTTCAACATTTAAGGGGTATTATTGTATGATACAATTCTAAAAGGAAAATGTATGTATTTACATGTTGTGTCTGAGTCATAAAGTGTAAAGAAAAATACATTGGTTGTCTTTTTTTGTTCATTTAGAATATTATTTATGAGGAATAGTACACGCAAACATTACACAAATATGATTTATTGCTTTAGAAACACTGACATGAAATGAACACAATTTCCAGTGTGGCCTCTCACAGCAGCAGGTAATGTAAAGGGAACTCTATCAGTTTGAATCATGATGGTCCTTTGGACACAAGTATTTAAAGAAGAAGTGGTGTGGTGTGTGAACACTGTCTCAGTATCAGAAATGCACATTCGTAAACAGATGCTAGTTTTTTGGTTAACATTTCCAGATCGCCTGAATCCAACACAGCCCTTTTCACAGTAAAGGTCTGCACAGGGCTCTCTTAGTTCAGACATAATTCTATTTTTTACAAGTTAAGTTGTCGCTTGACAACTTTAAAGTCTCTCACATTTGAAAAATAAACGTTCCTTTATGTCTGTGTGATCTCAGATGTGAGATCTCTTTAGCCTCTCACCCAGGCTAAACTGAAAATATTTCCTCCAGTGAAGAAAGTCCTGACTTCCCTTTCCCTCGGGGAACTCCTGAGGCTCAGGTTAGTGGCTCATGTTGTTGTGGGGTGAGCTCCACTGGTTCCAGTTTATCCGAGAGGACAGAAAGAATCATGTCAAACTTCTCGTAGCGCTCCTCTCTGCTGGCCGTGGCCCCCGTCTGACCCCAGAACAGCCGCAGGGCGAACTCCGTCCGGAAAGCCTCCAGCAGCTCGGGGACCGGCTCCCAGCTTCCTGCTGAAGGACGGGACAGACATCCCATCAGACACCAAGAATGAGGTCATTTCACATCAGTTTAACTATGGTTTTTTAGGATAATATACAATATACTATTGTACGTTCTGCCAGTGCAAACATGTTTACTCTGCCTTACAACAACAAGAACCACTCATAAGAACAGTGATTTAAGTTCACACATTTTTTCTTGCACTTTTACCTTCAATACAAACAAAATTAAGAACTATTCCAACCTGTTGCATAAGTCAAGAACATAAAGTCTGCCTCTCTCTACTTTTTTTTACTTAACCATTACAGTTAACCCCCTAGACTGAATTAATGTATTTAAAAAATGAACTAAAATATAGAAATGTATAAATAACTAATTTGACTAAAATAAAGTAATGCAAAATATGTTTTCTATATAATTTGGTCAAATTGGCTGAGGACCTTTTTTCCTTAGATTTGTATTATTTTTATTTTTGGCAAGCCAAATAATGCTAATCAGTAATTGTTGAGAATCTTTTCAATCTTTGGTAAAATATTTAATAAAAAGAATGTGCCTGCAAAAGGAGCCTCACTCAACATCTCCTCATGAACAGGTCACATTCATGTGTTGTTAAAAAAACACAGGATATTTATATTTAACATTTGGATTTTGCTTTATCTGACTTTAATAGTTTGTTTGTACTGATAAATTCAGTACGAACAAACTTCATAGTAACAGATTTAGGATAAGAATACTGTGATGTGTGTATATTTAAGGAGAGAACCATGCTGTGTGTACCTGTGAGCAGAGTGTGTGCGTGCTGCTGATAATCTTGTGCGTGCAGCGCAGCGCTGCGAGCTGATTGGAGGACGTCGTAGAGGAGCTGACAGCCACGCTCACTGTTCTCCACCGGGTCGTCGCCCTCCATCGCCATCAGCAGGGGAACCAGGTGAGGCACGGCTGAGGGACCGTGGACTCCAGAGTCTACAGGAAAACACATGAACAAAAAAGATTCAACGCATCACATGTATTATTTTAAAACGAAGGGTTACAGCGCTATTAATACTGCACAGCTTCACACAACAAAAAGGAGAAGAGTGCTGAACCGTTGAAGTGTTTTATAGATTTTCTGGAGTACACACAGTGTCTTTTGTGGCTTCCAGGAAGTCTGATAAATTGTCCTGAGTCGAGATCAATGTGGCTTTTCTCCTACTGCTTTTGATTTCATATTGGAGACAAACAGTCAATACTAGCACTTACTTTCATTGTACTGAACAAATAAAAAGCACTAAGTACTTAAGATGTTTCTTAGTTTAAAACTCACCGTCTCCGTCATTCAGCATGTTCATGAAGGGTTTGAGTTTCTTCTCAAATAAAACTGCAGTCTCCGTGTGGTTCCTCCTGAGCGCTCGCCACGTCATCTCTAGTCGCGTTATCTGCACATGTGCAAGCACAAACATACCAAGTGTGTTGGTAAACTCCATCCAGTTTGCATTTTACCTTAGTTTAAACTATATATTTGTCATATCTTCTCCACCTGAGGCAAATCCAGAGCCTTCATCACGGCTGAGAAGGAGTAGAGGTTGTGGGCGTTATCTTTCAGGGCCTGAGCCAATAAGATTAATTTATGTAAAACAGTTGACCTCTGGCTCACAGTCCCTGTGCAACCCAGGATGTCCACAGCGACTCCCAGTGCTATTAGATGATGCCTAAAAATGATAAAAATAATTAGAGTGCATACGATTTAAGTAAGGCAGAATGTGAGGACAGCTTTCCTCCTTTCCAGTGGGGAGCTGGGAAAAACCTGAAGTCAGTAAGGCTAAATGTTCAAATGTAGAGATTGTCGTTGTATTTTATGTTCATCCAGTATTTACTTTGTAAAGAAAAGGATCCTGATGAATGATCACAGGATTCCTTCTTTGAGAAGTGGATTCATTAATGTTTGCTAAGTTATTTTCTTTAATTCTAAGTTGCTTGACAAAAACTTGATTTATCCTTAAAAATCGTATTCTTATGTTTGAATGTGCACACCAGCTAGCTCCACGGTCAAGTTAACCCTCTCTAATGAGGCAATTATACGTAGTCTTTTCTCACTATCTGTGTCATCTTCACGTACCTTTCTAACAAATCCTGTCGTAATTGGCGTCCATGTGGCAAAGTGACAAGTTCCAGCCCCGATCCAACTCCCATAATCCTCTTCTGCTCATCGGTCACCCCAACAATGCGTGCAACCTGCAGCGTGACAACAATCACAAATCACTGCTCAGTAAGGTTTTAAATTAAACAGTTCCTTGATGAGTGGTTATTCATGCTACTTGTGGACATTTGGTTTGTTGAATTTACCAAAAACACCATATCATAAAACAGGGACCATATTCATCAAGCTAGGGAGTCAAATGTTTTAATAAATGTATTAGGACTTAAAAAT